CCACAACTGCGTTTCTCTTTGACACATGCATACACACATGCATACACACATGCATACACACATGCATACACACATGCATACACACATGCATACACACATGCACCAGAGCCTCACAAAACTCACACACACAAGCCCAGGCACGCCAAGGCAAGACAAGCCCAGGCACGCCAAGGCAATGGCCTCACCTGTGTTTCGCATCAACGCAGCCACATACGTCGTCTTGCCACCCGGAGCAGCCCTGAAATAGAGCAGGAAAAAGGTGGGGTGGGGAAGCGGGAGAAGGGAAAGTCGTGTGGGGGGGAAGAGGGAGGGATAGGGTTGGGGCGGAACAGGTGGGGCGGCGGGGAATAGGATTCTGAGGTTTAACGATAACTGTTAGTGAAGGGAGGGCGAAGTGTGTGAGAGAGTGAAAGTAGGCAAGGGAATGTGCATGGGCCATCGGATTAGGTGCGTTGTCCATCACAAAGATCAGATCCGTCTTGAAACACTTTTGATGACCAGATATCATCACGCGGCCCACACACTCACGAGCATACCCTCCCCCTCTTTACTCTCCTCTCTCCTCTCAACTCTCCTCTCCTCTCCTCCTCTGACCTGACTCCATGCATGCCTGATGCACGCGCTATACTGGGGTACATACACAGCATGTGCATGCACGTGCACTTGACTGACAAACGTCACGACTGCATCACAGCAAGAGTTGCTTCGATTTCTATCCTGGCTGGCTAGTTTTACATAAAGACGAGGGCAAGAGGAGACAAGGCCATCGGATTAGGTGTGTTGTCCATCATAAAGATCAGATCCGTCTTGCAACACTTTTGATGACCAGATATCGTCACGCGGCTGACAAAAAAACACAATAGTCCCCCTCTCCTCTCCTCTCCTCTCCTCTCCTCTCCTCTCCTCTCCTCTTCTACTCATCCATGGATAAAAGCCGACGATACGGTAGAATGACAGAACGGCAGCAAACGTTGCTGCTGGGTAGTGCTGCTAATGTAGGAATATATCATTATGATCAGAAATCGTTATGCGGCCATCAGATTAGGTGCATTGTCCATCACAAGGATCAGATCCGTCTTGAAACACTTTTGATGACCAGATATCATCATATGGCCGGCTAGACACACGCACACACACACGCACAAACAAATACCTTCCTTTCTCCATCCATCGCACATGCAACGAGTTTTGAGACGTCCCAGACCAAAAAAAAGGAAAAAAATAAAAGAAAAACACACACCCTTTCCAACATGCATGCATCATCGTCATTTTGGAATACGCAGGACGTGAGCTCGTTTAACAAAGGGAATGGCCGGCTACTACTGCTGCTGGTGCTAGTGAAGGCAAGGGCAGGAAGGGACACGCGAATGATGACAGTACAGAGAGGAGGAGAGGGAGGAAGGCAGAAGGAGAGGGAAAATGAGGTCATGCCTCAACTCATGCATGTGCTCGTACATGAATGTTTGTGAGAGACGTAAGGTTTTTGAGGCGCCTCAAAAATTGTAAGCGAGAGACGCACGGCCATAAGATTAGGTGCGTTGTCCATCATAAAGATGTCAGATCCGTCTTGAAACACTTTTGATGACCAGATATCGTCACGCGGCCGACAAACATACACGCACACACCATAGTTCCCCTCCCCTCCCCCCTCTCCTCTCCTCTCCTCTTTTATCCACGCATGGATAAAGCCCACGCTACGGTAGAATGACGTTACGGCAGCAAACCTTGCTGGTAGAGTTGCTAATGTAACAATATTTTTTTAATGATGAGAAATTGACATGCGGCCATCGGATTAGGTGCGTTGTCCATCATCAAGATGTCAGATCCGTCTTGAAACACTTTTGATGACCAGATATCATCACGCGGCCGGCACAGATGCACACACGCACAAGAGCCTTCGTATCCTCTCTGCTCCTCTATTCTCATCGAGAGAAGGAACGGAGGGAGTAGGGGCAGAGGGCGAGAGAGGAGAAGCAGGGGCGAGAGGCGAGATGAGGGGAGCAAGAGCAAGAACAACTCACGCGACGTCGACGACCACGTCCTTCTCCTGCGGTGCGAACACCTTTTGCGAATTCTCAAAACAGAGGGAGCAGGGGCAGGTGACGAGGGTGAGAGAGGCGGGAGCGGTAACTCACGCGACGTCGACGACCACGTCCTTCTCTTGTGGTGCGAGCGCCATGACTGGCAGGAACGACGCTGCGCTCTGCAGCTGATGGGGGGACGGCGGGGAGCGGGGGAGAGAGGAGAGAGGAGTGAGGGAGGAGGGAGGGAGGAGGGAGGGAAAAGGGGGGGAGGAGTGAGAGATGGAACGTACTACTGACACGCAGCGATGAGCGACGAGCGAAGGCTGTAAAGAGAGCACAAGCACGCCACAGACCCCAGCACCGCACAGCACAGCAGCACCCCCTAGCACCGCACAGCACCCAGCAGCACGGCATACCATGTAGTGTCCCGCCATGTACTCAGGCGTTGCTCCCACCGGCACCTGCGACTCGTACACCACTAGCCCAACCTGCGCCGAGGGAGAGGGGACGGAAGGAGGGAAGAGAGGTGAAGAGGGGGCGATGGGTATGTGCGTGCGTGCGAGGAGAGGAGCAGGCAATAGGTGGTGGAAAGGGAGAGACAGTGATGGAAACGAGATTGCAAATGAAAAAACCCGAAAACCCGAGAAAAAAAAAAAACGGAAGAAAGAAAAAACCCCAAACTTTGCTGGGGTTTTAAAAAAATGGCAGACAGCTCGTTGGGCAAGTTGTAGCCTTTCCTCGAGCGCCTAACCAATCGACTGACTGGATTGACAAGCGCCGCTCACCTTGCTCCAGGGCCCGAGCGGGTCGAGGTTGGCGCCGCGGTTGATGAGCGCGCAAAAGGGGTATGCCCAAAACCCTCGCTCAACGACACAATCATCGGGGGAGAGGGGAGGGGGCGGAGTGCGGAGTGCGGGGGGGGGGAGGACTGACCTTGCTCCAGGGCCCAAGCGGGTCGAGGTTGACTCCGCGGTTGATGAGCGCGGCGGCGAGCTCCCTGCGGCGAGCCTTGATGGTGTTGGTGCGGATGGTCACCGGGCGCGGCTTCTCACTCGCCTCCAGAAACTCCATCACCTCCGCCACGGGGAACATCTGGGGGGGGGAGAAAACGGGAGAGAGGGGGGAAAAGGGGAGAAGAGGGGAGAAAAGGGGAGAAAAGGGGAGAAAAGGGGAGAAGAGGGGAGAAAAGGGGAGAAGAGGGGAGAGAGGGGGGAAGAGGGAATGATAGAGTGCGGAAGACGGGATTTTTCGCCTCCAGAAACTCCATCACCTCCGCCAACCGGGAACATCTGGGGGGGGGAGAAAAGGGGAGAAGAGGGGAGAAAAGGGGAGAGATGGGAGAGAGAAGGGAGTGAGAGTGAGGGAGGGAGAAGGGAAGCTGCGCCTCCAGACACTCCATCACCTCCGCCACTGGGAACATCTGGGGGGGAGGGGGGGATGGGGGGAGGGGAGGGGGGAGAGGGGAGAGGGGAGAGGGGAGAGGGGAGAGGGGAGAGGGGAGAGGGGAGAGGGGAGAGGGGAGAGGGGAGAGGGGAGAGGGGAGAGGGGAGAGGGGAGAGGGGAGAGGGGAGAGGGGAGAGGGGAGAGGGGAGAGGGGAGAGGGGAGAGGGGAGAGGGGAGAGGGGAGAGGGGAGAGGGGAGAGGGGAGAGGGGAGAGGGGAGAGGGGAGAGGGGAGAGGGAGAGGGAGAGGGAGAGGGAGAGGGAGAGGGAGAGTGAGAGGGAGAGGGAGAGGGTAGAGATGAGAGGGGAGAGGGAACTTTTCTGAACTCCTGGGCAAAACAGTCACCTGCCTTGAACCCCAAACCTCGAGTGTATTTTTTTCTAAACCCCGATTGGACGCATAACCCCGGGCAGTTCTTCAACCACCCAGGTGAGAAGATCACAAAAAGCGCAGCATAAACGCCTCATACAAACCACCACCGCGAGCTTAAACCCCAGCCGCACAAGCTTCTCTTAAACCCGAAAAATCGACCCATCTGCATCAGTTCACCTGCATGAGCGCACCTACACGTCTACGTGGTTAAAGCCCACCTGCATGAGAGCGTGCATAAGGTTAAAGCCCACCTGCATGAGAGCGTGCATAAGGTTAAAGCCCACCTGCATGAGAGCGTGCATAAGGTTAAAGCCCACCTGCATGAGCGCGTCCATGAGGAAGTCGTTGTAGCCGTAGGAAAGCGCGAGATCCACCGCCAGCTGCCGCACGTACGCCGCGCGCGGCACCGTCTCCGCGCGCAGCTTGGAGAAATTGCCCAGCACGCGCACGACTGGCGGGCGCGGGGGAGAGGGCGGGAGGGAGGTGGGCGGGTAGCGGAGGAAATTAAGGGAGGGGATACGGGGAGGAGAAGCGAGAGGGTACAGAAGGGGAGGGGGTGGAGCCATAAGAGGCTGCTGATAGAAACAAGAAAATGGGCCGTCTTTTCTGGCATGTTCCTTCTCTAAACGCGGACACCATGAGAGGGCAGAGAGAGAATGCAGCCATCAGAGTAACTATGACATGAGTAGGGCCAGCATGAGAGGCAGCGAGTGCTTCTTTCGGCCAAAAGCGTGGCATCACGTGGCTGCACTCAGGATCACAGGAGAGAGATATATATATACACGATAACCACGTCACATAAATGCACGAGGTTCAGGAGTCTTCTTAGACCCCGAATCAGGGCACCCGTGCGGGAATAGCCGACCGAAGGGCGGGAACATGCGAGTGAACGGAAAGACGGGATGCAGGGAGATAAAGACAGGAACGGACATGCAGGAAAAGCATGCAGGAAGCGGCACGCTAAGGAGGATAAGCGGGCTCACTGTCATTGATCCGCTTCTGAATGACCGATAGGTCCGGCGGCGCTGCTGCCTCTGCCTCCCTCTCCTACTCCACAAAGAATGCCACCGACAGGAGGTAACGAGAACGAAGGAGAGAGGGAGAAAGGACGAGAAATAATGAGCGTGAGAGTCCGAGGTTAGGCCGATCGGAGAAAGCTCAGCAAGGGACACAGGAGGGCACCAGGGTTGCTAAGGAAGCGAGGAGAGGTAAGACAGAGATGTGATCAAAGGATGCATCTCTGATCTGCCTCTCCTAAGCCTACCCTTTCCCCATCTTCCCCCGTCCCCCCACCGCCCCCCGCAACACCCCCGCAACACCCCCGCAACACCCCCGCAACACCCCCGCAACAATCCTCCAACACCCCCCCCCGCAGCGCGCACCTCGTCGGTGGGCAGCAGCATCCCCACGTCCTCCCCGTCCTGTATGTTCAGCTGCAGCTCCGCCTCCGCGTCCTCCGCCTCCTGCGCTCTCCGCGCCTCCAGCTTCCGCGCCTTGCGCTCAAACGCCGTCTCCTCCTCCTCTTCTTCCTCCTCGTCGTCTTCGTCCTCCTCTCCCTCTTCGTCCATTCCCTCGTCGTCGTCCTCGCCACCTGAAGATGAGCGGGGAAACAGCAGCACTTTTTTCAATTATTCCTAAACAAAGGCGACAGAAAGAAACCTGCAGAAACGGCGCCTCAAAACGGCGTTAAAACATTGGAATGTTAGCTCGTGACAGAGAAGTGGACAGGCGCGGAACACGAAAGCACAGGTGAATGCGTTATTACCGAAGGCACGCACACCATTCCCCACCTTCGAAGTCATCGGGCATAGCATCGTCGTCATCATCATCCTCCTCGTCATCATCGAGCAAGTTCTTCTTCTTCACCTTCAGCCACGACTGATTCTCGTCGCTGAACGCCCTCTCCTTCCCGCCGCCCGCCGCTTTAACATTGTCCTTCTCATCCGCCTCGTCGTCATCATCTTCCTCCTCCCCGTCTTCCTCCCCGTCTTCCTCATCGTCCTCCTCGTCCGCTTCTGCCAAACCCTTCCCCTTTCCAAAACCCTCGAGTTCCAATTTCTCTTCGATGTCCTCCTCCATCGCCGCCTCTTCCTCCTCTTCCTGCTCCAATTTCGACATTCTCTTCGGCGTCTTCTTGCCGGGACTCCCGCTCTTCTGCGCTCCCGCCGTCCCTGCCTTCGCCCCTCCTCGCCCGCCGCTCCCCGCGCCTCCTTTTCCCCCTCGAGGGGTATTTCCTGTCTTGGGGGACATTCCTAGGCCTTTACCGCCGCTTCCGCCGCCGCCGCCGCCTTTTCCGCGCGCGGGCGACCCGCTTTGTCGCCGCGCGCTGGGCGTGACTGCCGCTGGCATTTCGGCCGGCGCGTCAGTATCGCGGGTTTTAAAGGAGAACGACGAGGATGACGAGAACGAGGGACACGAGTCGCAAGGTTACCCGGAAAGAGTAATTACTTTCTGAGCCGCCTCAAATGTGCGCGAGTGGTCGAAAACAAGGGGCTTTGATTGCGTCACGAGATGCTGTAGTTATGGACAAGGGATTGGGTTCAAGAAACAAACGATAAGCAAGGGGACAGGCGGTGATTTATGGGGATGGTAAAAGAGATGGAGGTCGGGAAGGTGAGAGGGAGGGCGAACCGGCTGGGGTTTGGGGGACAGCGCTGATGAGAATTTGGAATGCCATCTTCGCAAAAGGATGACAAGCTGCGACATTTGCGACACGAATGGTCAAAGTAACATTCGCAGTCACGCTCGAAAGATTCTCAAATAGGGTGCTTACATAATTAACATAGAATTTCAGTTGTTGTCAACCACCTTGAACTACATATGAATACCGTTCAGTGAATTAGGTGTGCTGTTCTTGTCAGGCAAAACAGTTTTTGATGCCACAAATGTGGGTTCAAACATGTGGTTGATATCTACTAGTAATTTACATTGCATTATGTTGTGCATTATGATCCACGATCACAACACGTTGATTTGCCTGTGCAACCACATGCATGCTCACATGAAACCCCTTATCCAACCGCAACAGCTCCAAGCGAGGACATGCCACCAGCAGCTGCTCAACCGCCACGTCAGCAAATCCAGCAAATAGAGAAGCACCGAGCGGATAGTCATTCCACGTAAGAAGTTCCAGGAGATTCAGCTTGTGACAATAACGGGCGACGAGAGGGAGACATGCGGTTGTGAGCGCTCTCACCGACAACGGGCCCATGGCCTCCTCCATATGTGCCGCTGCCCTTGCCGCAATGTGCGCTGCTGATTCTGATGCCCACCCATCAAACACCGCCTCCGCCGCTGCAGCTGCTGGTGCTTCCTCAAATTGCACAGATGATGCGACACCTGACGGCACACCTGTCCATATGTTGGCTTCTGCAGCAGTTACCGCTGATGCCGTTCGCAGTACAGATGAGGCGGTGGGGAGTGACGCAGAGGGTGCGGGGAGGTGTGGGCGGTGGTGAAGAGTGAGGGGAGCGCTGGGGACGGACGGCAGGAAAGGCAGCTGTTTGAAAAGCTTCAGCTTGAGAGTGAGTAAAGAAGGGCCCATGGACTGCAGAATTACTGCCAGTGCAGTGTCGGAGATGCCAGGGCACCCATACAGCTGCAGCTCCTGCAGCGATGCGAATGGGTAGGAGGACGGGGAGGAGGATGGGGAGAATGACAAGAATCTGGGGGAGCAGCCAGTGAGGTTCTGTGCGTGAGGCAGCCTTGGGTTTGCCGTGTTAAATGGTGGGTGCGATAGAGAGGCGGTGGAGGAAGACGGGCAGGAGAGGGATAAGGAGGAGAGGGATTGTGCGAGTTGGGAGTCTGGAGAGAGAGGGCTTGACGGCAACCCATGCAGGCTGCTGTGTTGACTGGCGCTTGATTGCTGCTGGTGCCGCTGCTGATGATACTGCCTCTGTTCCTGTTGCTGTTGCTGCTGCTGCTGCTGCTGCTGCTGCTCCTCCTGCTCCTTGCAATGCTGCTGCGCCAGCTGCAGCAGCAGCAGAGCCAGCCCCTCACGAGGCACACCGGGGCAGTTGGCAAGGCGCAGCACACGCAGCCGTGGGCAGGCAACGGCGGGAGCAGGAGAGGAGGCGGCAGAGAGAGCAGAAGGAGGAGCTGTTGGGCGTGCTGGCAGTGCGTTCTTCTCCTCGTCCATCTCCCAGCGCAGCTCCTCCAGGGATTCCCATGCTGCAGGTCGCAGTCTGAATACGTCCGCCTCGCCTATGCCACGGCAGTTCACCACTCCCAAGCCACGTAGGCTGCTGCTTCTGCTGCTGCTGCTGCTGCTGCTGCTGCTGCTTTCCGCCGCACTTTCATCGCAGCAATTCCCCCCACCCCCGTCCTTGCATCTCTCCCCAATAGCAGCGATCCATTCGCTACTCCGCACGTTCGTGCACCTCTCAACGTGCAGCCACTGCAGCTGTCGGCACCCCGTCACTACGGACAAAACTCCCCGCTCGGTGAGGCAAGGAACGGAGTCGAGGCGCAGTGAGGTGAGGGACGGGAGCGAGGCGAGGTGAGGCATGGCGGCGTCGGTGACGTGGCTCGTGAAGGAGAGAGACACGTGGCGCAACGGGAGTGGCTGATCGCAAGGAAGGGTTTGGGCGACGCCATGTTCTCTTAAGGGGCGCCAATGCGGGGAGGATGCGGAACAGGCGGAAGGTGAGGGAGCGATAGGAGGTGCTAGTTGTCTGGCTAACAGCACTAATGCGCCCACGTCATCATCCGCAAGTTGCGGGCCTTGCGCCGGCTCCCATCCAAAATAGTCCACGTGGAAATAGGTAATTCGTGAAAAGCGACCCAGCAGCCGCGCGAGCGCCGCTTTTGCCGGGTGCAGGCCGCGGCCGACGCGGAGAGAGCGGCGGGAGGAGGCGTCTAAGCGGTGAAGGCGGCGGCAAGCGCGGGAGAGGGCGTTGCGATTGCGGGTGGATGGGAGGAGGGAGAGGATGAGGAGGAGGCAGTCGTCGGGTAGACTGAGGAGCAGAGACATGGCCGTAGTGGTGGTGGGTGTGATGTGAATGAGAATGAGCGTGGCTTGTCGCGCAGCGAATAAATGGCGGCAATGTGATGGATGGTTGCGTGAATTTTGGAAACGTCCCACCCATACACCAGCAGATAACGTATTCTCGGATGGCTAAGTTCGGTGCGCAACGTCGAAAAGCGTTGAAACGCTGGAGCAATTTGAGATAATCGTGCAGTAACGAGAAATTCTACATTCTGGTTACATGCAAAACCCAATATGGACAGGGAAAGGTGCAATGTCACACAAGCAAAAACTGAGACGCAGACAAGCATAAACAGCATACCAAGCTACGAAACAGAAACTACAGCTAGAACAAGATATGCACATGAAGAAGGGAGCAGGCCACGATCACGTTGTCGTCGCATCCCCTCTAAACTTTCTGCGATGTCGGGAAAGCCATGGCCACTTTAGACTCGGCCCCACTCGGCTGTTTCCACGCCGCGGTAACAGTCTTGGTGTACGTGTAGAACTGCACACCCGCCTTGCCATAGAAATTGAGGTCTCCGGCAAAGCTGGCCCGCGAGCCGGTGAAGGAGAAGAAGGGCAGCGGCACTGGGATGGGCAGGTTGATACCCACCTGTGGATGCACACAACACAACACACAGGTACAGCCATGGGAAAACAGAATGAAGAATGGGAGTGTTTGTGGTTGCGGAGCAAGTAGCATTGGTGGGGGACAAATATATGGCATTAGTCCATCGTCCTCCCCTCCACTCCCCATACTGCCTCACAACTCACCACTCTCCATCTCTTCTATTACCCAAACCACGGCTCCTTCCCACCCCCCGTCTCCCCTCTCTCAACCCCCCCCCACCATCTCCCTCATCACCCCCCCATCTTCCCCCTCCCTCTCTTCTCCCCCTCCCCTCCTCTCTCTCCTCCACTCCCTCCCCCCTCACCTGCCCAACATCAATCTCGTTCTGAAACTTCCTGGCAGCTGCGCCCGAGGATGTGAAAATCGCAGTGCCGTTGCCATAGGGGTTGCGGTTGACGAGAGCAATGGCATCATCAAGCGAGTCGGCAGACATGAGCAGCAGCACGGGCCCGAATATCTCCTCCCGGTGGCACTCCATGCCCTCCCTCACGTCCGCTAGAATGGTCGGACCCACAAAGTTGCCGCTCTCGTACCCTGGGACCTGAGGAGGAGAGCGAAGAGGGTGGGAGGGGAGGGGAGGGGAGGAGGGCAGCAGAAGAGAGAGGGGAGGAAGGCAGGAGGAGAGGGGAAAGAGGAGGATAGGAGGGGTTGGGAAGGGCAGGAGGAAAGTGTTAATGTGGGAAGGATGCGGAGTTAGGCAGAAACTGCAAGGTGGTATGGGATGGGTGCATCGATGGGGCATGGGACGATACAATGGACATATAAACAAAGAAGCTGGGAATTGCAAGAAAGCTCGCATGAGACCTCCATTCCCCATACCCTCGCCCACTTCCTCCTTCCCCCGTACCCTTTCCCCTGTCCACCCCCCACGTCCCCCCTCCCTGCATCCCTGTCTCCCTCCCCCCCCCCCCCCCCCTCACCTGCACATTGCGGTTGTCGAGCAGCAGGCGGGCGCCATCAGCGACTTTCATCCTACCCTAACCCAGCTGCCCCTACCCACATCACCATTTCCCCGCCTCCCCCCCCCCCCCACCCCTCACCTGCACGTTGCGGCCGTCCAGCAGCAGGCGGGCGCCGTCAGCGACGCCACTGTCCACCAGGGCGTGAATGCGCGCTTTAGCGTCTTTCGATATCACCGGGCCCAGGTCCGCTGCTGGGTCCGTGCCCACTGCCACTCGCAGCCGCGTTGCTGCCTCCACTAGTAGCGGCTCCCTGCGGCGCGGGGGGTGGGTGGGTGGGGGGAGATGGTAGAGGGGGAGAGGAGTGGAGGATGGGAACGGATGACGGGACAGGAACATGGGAGGTGGTGGTGAGGGGTGGTGAGGGGTGGTGGGGTTGTTGGGAGGAGCTTGGGCTTGAAGCACCTGAAAACTGATCCGCTGCAGGGCTGCATGTCACTCACTCTCCTCTTTAACTCTTCTCTAGCTACTCTCACTCCGTCGCTTCTTACTCACTCCTCGAACTCTCCGATCACGTTCTCTCGCGCACGCACCTCACACCACTGCTGCGAGCTCTTAACGAACACGCCAGTGCTGATGGCCATGCAGCGTGTTTTTGTAGAATTCTCGAAAAAAAACACTCTGCGAGCCTCCAGCGAACATGGCTGTGCTTGTTAGCCGCCTCTAAAGTCAAGGACAGACGCCCCCTCTCACCACTGCTGCGAGCCCCCGACAAACACGGCAGTGCTGATGGCCATGCAGCGCTGCCCCGCTGCCCCAAACGCCGCCCCCACTAACGCATTCACTGCTGCCTGTGGGTCCGCGTCTGGCAGAACCACTGCGTGGTTTTTGGCTCCCATGTTGCACTGATGGAGGGCGCGGGGAGAGAGGGATATCGTGAGAGAGCAAGGAGGAGAATGTGAAGAAAGGTGAAGGAGAGGCAGGGGATGTGTGGGCCTGCGTCTGCCATTTGGCAGAACCACTGCGTGGTTCGTTGCTCCCATGTTGCACTGATGGAGGGCGCGGGGAGAGAGAAATTAGGGAGAGAATGAGACGGCAAAGAGGAGAACGTGAAGAAAGGTGAGGGAAAGGTAGCGGACGTGCTTGATTCTCAAAAGCGACTGGATGAATGTGGGAGGGCAGTATGGCACAGGGAGGAGGAGAGGTGAAGGAGAGGTGAAGGAGAGGTGTGGGAAGAGGAGGGTGATGGGGGGGGGTAGGGGAAATGGGCCACTCTGGTAGCGCGGCAGCGCATGGGATTTCCAAATCACAAACGAAGGGAAACGTGCCTAGTAAAGAAAACAGGTTTACTAAGAAAACAACTGAACAACTGCTCCTGTCGACTGCAAATACTTCCCTCCTCGCCCCGTGTAGTAAGTCGTTTTCTGAGTCGACTCAAAAATCGACTTCAAATACTTCCCTCCTCGCCCCCACTGCTTCTCCTCCCCTCTAGCTTTGAGGCGCCTCAAAACCAGGTTCACTAAGAATACAACTGAACAGCTGTTCCTGTCGACTGCAAATACTTCCCTCCTCGGCCCCCCAGCTTCTCCTCCCCTCCCTGAGCATGCCTGCTGTAGCAAGTTGACCTCTCTCTCACCTGCACTCTCTTGCCATGTGATGCTGCTCGTGCATAGATGTTTCGCCCTGCCTGCACGGGTGGGCATGGGACGAACGAGAGGTGCATGCAAAGTTGCCGAGGTGAAGTGAAGACGAGGAGAAGAGAAGAGGAGAAGAGGAGAGGAGAAGAGGAGAGGAGAAGAGGAGAGGATAAGGGGAGAGGAGAAGAGGAGAGGAGAAGAGGAGAGGATAAGGGGAGAGGGGAGACAGAATGCTGTGGTGCTGTACGCATGTAGGGAGTCAACTAAATTCAGGTGAGATGGGATGGGATGAGACAGGATGGGATAGAGATGGGATGAGTATGCAGTTGGTGGTGAGGGTCAGGTAAGCAGTGAGTAAAGAAACGGCGAGACGAGTAAGCAGTGAATACCAATGGATCAGCTGAGAGGGTGGTGAGATTCTCTACCTTGTCTGATCCAACGAACGAGATTGCCCGAATCTCAGGCTCGTCACACATCCAATTCACAACGTCCTGAGACAGCAGAGCATGGCATGGCATGGCACGGCAGCACATTACAACATAGCATGACATGGCATGACATAGCGTGGCGTGGCATGGCACAGCAATGGGCAAGAGCAGGAAAAGGAGCGGAATTGGTGAGTTGAGTAAGCAGTCTGCCAATCAAACCTAAAGATGCTTAGCACCACAATGGGTTCAGAAATGAGCCAGGTCAGAATATTGCATGGCACTAAGTGCACCATGCACAGCAGTATCCGCTGCTATGTTTGAACCATCACCATCACCAGCACCACCACCGTCACCATCAATGCCACTCACATGAGTGCCATGCCATGCACCACGTTGAGCACGCCAGGTGGAAGGCCAGCCTCCAGAGCGAGGTGAGAGCATTGCGCTAGTGCAATGCAACAACTACAACAGTATCCTCTGCTATGTCTGGGCCATCACCAGCACCACCACCACCACCACCGCCACTCACATGTGTGCCATGCACCACGTTGAGCACGCCAGCAGGCAGGCCAGCCTCCAGTGCGAGTTCAGCGAGCATCATGGCAGCACCCGGGTCCTTCTCCGATGGCTTGAGGATGAACGTGTTGCCCGCTGTCACTGCGAACGGAAACATCTGCCACAAGGAAGGCATGCAGGCAAGCAAAGGGCACACAGGCGGGCCTACGTTTGAGGCGCCTCAAAAATAGACTCCGATGGCTTGAGGATGAACGTGTTGCCCGCTGTCACTGCGAACGGAAACATCTGCAACGAAAGAGGCAGGCAGAGTTGACTTGGGAGGCGAACATGAGGTTATGTCTGAGGAGACTTAGCAACAACAACAAAAAAAAAAAAAAAAAAAAAAAAAAAAAAAGGGGAAAAGGTGGGCAGGCCTTTGGCCCAACATCAGGAACAAAAGGCTGATTGCAGTCATTTTATGTTACCCGGAAGAAGAAATGATGAGGCCTCACCCAGAGGGGAATCATGGCGGGGAAGTTGAAGGGGCAGATGCCAGCACACACGCCCAGAGGCTGCCTGATGCTGTAGGTGTCCACGCCCACACTCACGTTCTCCAGCAGCTCTCCCATCTGCATCGTTCCCATCGCACACGCCTGCTCCACCACCTCTGTGCATGCGAGTGAGGGGCGACGGAGGTTGGGGAGAGGGAGGGCGTGGGAGGGAGAGGCCGGGCGTCGTTGAGTGAACAGAATGGAGATGCAGTAGATGGGAGCAAACGTTCATCCCAGTTGATTCAAAGCACCATGGATACGGGGGAAGACCAAGGCACGAAGAAATAGAACGGGAGCTTTTGAGTGGCGAGCAGCGAGAGGGACGAGGAGAGAGTGAAGGAAAGAAAGAGGGCGCGAAGAAGGGAGGGAGGGAGGGAGGAAGAGAGGGAGAGAGAGAGAGCACGCACCGAGGCCACGGAAGACATCCCCTCGTGCGTCTGCTAGAGTCTTGCCCTGCTCCGTGGTCACGCTCAGAGCCAACCGGTCCTGTGGAACCATGTGGTGCATGGCACGGCGTGGCATGGCATGGCATGGCATGGCACGGCATGGCACGGCATGGCATGGCATGGTATGGCACGGCATGGCATGGCATGGCAGAGCAAGCGGAAGCAAGGAGGGTAAGGGGGAGGGAACTGTGGGTGAGGGCAAGCAACGCGAGGGCTCTGATTAGAGATTTCAGGCTTGATTTGACTCAGGTGTCGTTTTCTCTACTCCAACCGGGCTTTAAGTACGTCTTCTCCCTTCTCTTTTGAATCGTGTGTGCGGTGCTGCTGCTGCCAGCCGAGACACACCCTACTACTGCCAATCACAGAGCAACACGTGTCCCTTGCAGCCCTTCCCTGGTCTCTCCTCCCACTCCGTCAACCTAGAGTGAAGACCCATCGACCACACCTCCCCTACAACTACAACCGCCACACCACACCACACCACGCCACACCACGCTACACCACGCCCACACCCAACCCATCACCCCACTCCGCCACACCACCCCTACGCCCACCCCACTCCGCCACGCTGCGCGCACCATTTCGCGGCGGATGAGCTCCTGCAGCTTGAGCATGACGCGCGCGCGCACGGGCAGCGGGGTGGCGCGCCATGCAGGGAAGGCGTCCGCGGCTGCGCGCACTGCTGCACTGAACTCCCCGCGCGTTGCCAGGGGCAGATGCGCCAGGACCTCCTGTGTCGCCTGGGGGTGGGGAGCGAGTGGGGGACGGCAGAAATGGGGGGATGACAGGTAAGGTAGGGGGGTGCGGACGAGGGTGGAGTGGGGGGGTGTGGGAGGAGAGAGGGGGGAAAGGAGGGTGGTGAAGGAGAGGAGAGCGGGGAGTGTGAGGTGGTGAAGGGCACTGAAGGGGTGAGAAGAGGGGAGAAAATGATGGATGCTCGTCACTGCACGTGCGCAGCACAGGATGCCTGATAGCAGACCGTCACCGTCACCGTCACCGCCACCGTCACCGTCACCGTCACCGTCACCTCGCCCTGCCATTCTTCACGTCTTTATCAGTTGTACCTGCTTGTTGACCTGAGGACGACACGGCTGCTTGTTGAATTGTTGAATTGCAGCACAATTCAGGTAACGACGCGCGCGCGGCTGAAGTGCTGCACGGAATCCCCCCAATGAACCCGTGTGCTGCGCTGATCATAGTAAACAGACTTGGGACACAAAGCACTCCGAGAGGTCAAACGGCGCCAAGGCGTTCCGTTCCGGGTGTTACCTTAAAAAACGCAGGCCTACCAACCACCATGCACCAGGCTCATTAACCAGATTCCAGGCTCGTCATCAAGACAAGAACTAAGGTGTAAACATAAAGTCGTACCGGGTTGATGACGGGAACATGGTGGTCGGAGGTAGAGTCCACAAGCTTGCCTCCAATGAGCAGCTTCACGCGCGGCTGACATGACATGCCGCCAGGCACCATGGGGGAGGCGGGAGCCGGGAGAGGAGGGAAAAGAATGGAAGGTAGGCAAGCACGGGGATGTGTGAGTGGGTGAGTATGTGTGAGAATGGGAGTACGGGGGTATGCAAGCACGCTGCCTGTTGCAGTCCCGAATATAACTAGCATTAACGGGGAATCAATTCATGCTACGCCATGCCCGCGCCGTTACGCTGCTCCTGCACTCACCACGTCCCCTTCGCTAGCCGCGGGAGCAGCATCAGGAGCTCCAGCGGGACTGCCGGTGAGTGACGACGCCGCTGCTGAGGCGGAAGCGGAGAACCCGCGCCAGCCTGCGGGCTGACGTGGCACCTGGAAAACGGGCCCGAGGGGGTATAAAGCCGAGAAAGGAAGAATTTGATTGCGAGACAGGCATAGTACGTTGCATAAGTGTTTTGAGGTATTTATAGATTCGCGTGCTTTAGAATCTAACTTCAAACACTCGTGCAACGTTCTCAAAAACACCTGTAGAGTATTCGCAGCCCTCTTAACATGCCCCAGAAACTTTAATCTGTTATGTTTATTTTGTATTCAACGAATTAAACCGATTTGACATGACAGTCCAGACACGATTCTTGGGACAGCAACAAGATAACTCCTACCATATAATTGTACCTTAACTGGAAACGCGCCGGCACCGTCGTTTACACTGCAGAGCCCCCAGTTACTGACGGCCGCGTGGTCTTCGCTGATTGGAGGGCGACAGGCGACGGCGGGTGTGAGCAGAGCCGCGGAGGAGGTGGCTGAAGCGGACGGCGCGGACAGGAACGCGGAAAGCTGAGACGCGATGACTCCCGCCAGCGGCGCGCAGTGAGTCTGTCGCTTGGCGGCTACGCGGAGAAACATGGTAATATGGCGGCGAGCGGATGGGCGGATGGTCTGGCGAACGGAGGGTTCGGAACTGTGGAGAGAGCGAATATAGTGCCGCCGCGGCTAGCTGATTGCTGGTCGCCTTACCACTGTTCGCGCGGATATCAGGTATGCTGCGGCAACTGTCTTCAATAGACGCCTGGTTCAACAAAACAGCCGGATTGCTAATACGGCTATTGAAGCAGCTAAGCCCTAAGCACTCAGGGAATGGCTGGAATGCGTGCGAAACAGTCAGGCAAAGCAGCAATTGAATGCTTCAGCATTCACAGAATGGCTGGAATTTCGTGTGCTGGGAGGAGTTTGGTTGCGTTAGCAAAGCGGTACAATTGGATTCTTTAGCGGTTGCGTAGGTTTCCTCTGCCATGCTTTTCATGCCCGCTTCTGGAGTTGGGTTGGGGGGGATGTTCCACATCCCAGACAATATCGCGATTCGGCGAACTAGGAAGCTGGGACAACCTGAAGTTTTGACCATCCTTCCCATTCACAGATGGAAGATGCTGCTGTCGGACCACGCAACTGAAGAGTGTGACACGTCACCTTCAGCTGGCGTGACGTAGGGACATCGATGTAAGCAGTAAATTCCGCCAATCCCTGACCTCCATTCCTCCTCAGCACAACTGCCTTGCGATTTCTTGATGTCTTCCATAAAGCATTATCAGTTACGACCGAGAATGTATGCACTGATATAGTGTAATAACATTCACCAAAAAAAAACATTATAGCGGTTTCATTATTCAAGGTCAAATAATAACATAACCACAGAAACATATTTTCCCTAATTGAATTCACTAACCCCAGAAGCCAGCCTCTAATTTCAGCTACCATAGCCTCAACGAGTGATATAAAAATACTGTAATGTTAGCCGCCTCACGTGGGAACAAAGGCAGTCACCTAAGTTGCAACCATCCCTAATCAAGTTACCAGGATTAGAACCCACCACCCCCTGCAACAGATCCACGATTACCGGAACTCCCTCCATGACTCCCCATAACCACGGCGCAATGCACCGTAAGCTGGCGTGCGTGAGAAAGCAACGACGCAAACAGAGACGTGCCGCTCGAAAGCAGCCTCAGATCCACAGGCATGGCATCCGACACACGGGATTCCACCATTTTCACATGCGCCTGCAACCCATCCACCTTGAACCCACTATCTCCTTTCCCCTTCCCACCAGCACCTCCTGCCGTCCCTGCCGCTTTCAACCTTGCCTCTTTGAGAGACTGTGCAGATACAAAGTTCCTTGCACTCCCACCGGCCGCCGCCGCACCTCCCCCCCCTTCCATCAACCCACCCTGGAACACTGTAGCCTCCAGGCTTGCCGCATGCACCACCGCATCCACGGCCAATCGCAGCGCGACAGCTGTCAGCCCAGAGTCGATGCGTCCGCCGGCCGAGGCCCTCCCTCGCAGGGCGTCCACATGGGTGGAGATCTTCTTGGCCAATTGCGAGCCGCCACCTGTCATGGTCTTGAAAAGGCCGGCGCCTGATGCTGCCGAGGCAAGCGCTAGCGCCTGGAGATGCGCAGAAGAGGCATCAGAGAGGCTGGTGGTGATCCGCAGGAGCATGATGGTGTCCATTCTCTCGCCTGCTGCTGCCTTGGCTTCGGTCAGCAGTGCGTGTGACAGCACCAGCCCTGCGAGCACTGCACCGCTCATCACCGCTCCCGCTGCTGCTGCTTGCGAGTGCCCTGCCGCACCCGCCTTCTTCTGCTGCTTCTTCTGCGCCTTCTTCTTAGCAGCCAACCCATCCCCATCATAATCATCCTCATCATTATCATCCTCCTCGTCATTCTCAAGATAAGCGTCCCTGTTTCCTCTCCCTGCAGCAGCAGCCGCAGCGGCAGCGCCGGCGCCAGCAGCAGCAGCAGCCTCTTGCCTTTCCTTCAGCACCTTAAGGTGCTGCTTCATCCCCGCTTGAAGCCTTTCCGCTGATCGCACCGCAGCAGCCGTCACCGCTTCCCCATCCGCCACCTTCCTCGCAATCACCTCCGCATGCGCTGCAGCGTCTCTCGCCAGAGCCACGCCCGCACACACAGCAGGCAGGCCCAGCTGCGGCAGCAGCAGATACAGCTGCCTGGCATGCCCCATCACCACACACGCCAGACTCGACGCCTCTGCTGCTGTCTCTGCATCTGCCGTCGGCGATCCTGCCGCTGCTCCCTCCTCTCCGTCCCCACCACCACCGGCTGCTGTACCCGGTGCTGCGGCGAGAGACATGAGCGACTCCACATGCACCTCCACATCCTCCACTAGATTCTCCGCGGATTCGAGCAACGCGGCCGGGATTGGAGTCGCAGTGGTGGCAGCCACAGCTGTTACGGCGAGGGTTTGGAGCCGGGAGGTGTGCACAGCGGCAGAGGCGACAAGAGCGGCGGATGCAGAGACAGTTAAGGTGTCAATACTGCCCATGCCCGACGCGGCCTTAGACGCGAGGATATCCACATGCATGTTAGAAGCCTCTGCTAGCGCATCCGCATCTGAAAACACCTCTGCTGGGAGAACTCTCGGCGCCGATCGCAGCGCGTCTACATGAGCAGCCGCGTCGGCTGTGAGCAGCGCTCCTGTCGTCACGCACCCAGCGTCGACCCTAGTTCCTGCTACTGCCTTCTCTGCAAGAGACTGTGTGTGCGCGGAGGAAACCTCTAGCAGCACAGATGCACGTGCGATGAGATCTGGGGGAACCTCGCCTGCAGGCGACGCCCAGCTGACCAGAGCTAGCACGTGGTCTGCTGCTCGTGCCGCTAGTTGTGCCGATCGCGCTACAGCCGGAGCGTCTACGGTTTTCTTGGCCTCCTTCCCTGCTACAGCCGCTGCGAGCTCCACTGACGCGTCTACCAAGAGACGGGCAACGGAGCAGGAGAGCTCGGCGTGTACCCCTGCTGATGCCGCTGCTGATGCTGCCACTGCTGTGGCTGCCGAACCTGCTGCAGCTGCTGCTGCGCCGGCACCAGCAGCAGCCGCTGCAGCCGCAGCAGTACTGCTGAGACTTCCCCGCTCTCCTCCTCCGAACAGCCTGCCTCCTCTGGGCGAAGCAGGGGGGATCCCAGACACGCTTGGCGGCCCGACAGGCGACAGAATCCCCATACCAGGGACACCCGATTGCGGGTTCTGCACTGCTGCTGCCGATGCTGCTGCTGCGGCTGCAGTAGCAGCGGAGGACCGCTGCCCGTCGACTATGCGAGCGTGCCCTGCCACTCGGGCCGTGACATTCGCGTACGTGACAACGTGCGAGGAGGCGAGCTCCGGCTGATCAATGGCTAGGATCGACAGATCTCCGGCCAGCTTCACCACCTCCTCTGCGACTTGTAGCCCTTCTGCAACCATCTCTGCTTTGAACACCACCGTCCGCTCCTCCCCCCCGTGCTCCCGCATCCGCTTCCCCAGCCGAAACGCCTGTACGGCCACCCGAAACGCCGCTACAGCCGTCGACGCGTCGATGTGCGCGTTGTTCCGCGCTACAGATTTCAGCAGGTCCGCCTGGCTCAGCGCGAGCTCAGCCACTCGTTGCGCCTCCACCCCGGCGTCCGCAGGGAACGCCGCAGACGCGATCGTTCTCGTGACCAGCCGCGACGCCAGAGACGCCGCTTTCGCCCCGAGACGGGCCCCGTCAGCTGCGACCTTTACGGTGGCTTCTCGGCCGAGAGCGAGCAGCGCTCCTCCCACTCCCCCGCCGGCGCCACGGCCCCCGCCGCCGCCAGCAGCGCTGCGGCCTGCTCCTCCTGCGCCGGCAGCAGCGCCGGGCGCGTGCATCTTCGCCTGTGCTTCGAGCTCCTCGGCTCGCGTAACGCAGTCGTCGTCAAAGACGCTCCCGGCCTCCACGCGGGGGACCAGCCCCTGGCGTAACGCGGTTACCGCCTCCAGTAACGCCTGCGCGACTGCGAGGACCTCGCGGGTTACCTTCGCCTTGGCGGCGGCTTGGAACTGCAGGAGACTGCCGTAGAAGGCTGCATGCACCGCCACTTGCACGGAGATCAGCGCGAGACCCGAATCGTCCATCGCACCAGCCACTCCCCCTCCTCCTCCACCTCCCGTCCCTCCTACTGCTGCTCCGCCTGCTGCTGCCAGAGCCGCCGGCCCCACACCCCAGGTCTTCCTGCATCGAGTGAGCAGCCCCCGCACATGCCCCTCCACCAGCCCAGCATACATCTCCACATTCCCCACCAAGGTAGCATCTGCCGTCGCTCCCACCGCCGCCTTCCCCGCCAGCATCTGCAGATGCCCTGCGATCTGCTTTGCCAGCCCCACCGCATCCCCCACCGACCCGAACCCGACCGAAGCCTCCTGGAACTGCAGCCGGCGCGCGTGCCCCACCGCCCCTGCAGTAACTCGCACCGCCTCGGCCAGCACAGCGGCGTCCACGCCGATCCCCTCGGTTTTCCTCGCGGCGAGCGCGCGCACGTGCGCCACGAGCATCTCCCCCAGCTCCCGAGCCTCGGCGACCGAAGCAGGGTCGGCCCAGCCGCAGCGCGTGGCTTGGACTTGCAGCGCGTGCGCGTGGCCGGCGGCGAGGACGAGGAGGCTCGCTCCGCCTGCGAGCACATCGCTGTCGACCGCCGTGCTGCTGGTGCATCTGTCCCAGAGCTCCTGCGCGTGCTGCCCCGCTGCTTCTGCCAGCTTGGACACTCGGACGGACGAGGTCATTCGAGTGATGGCTAGCACACCGTTGGTCACAGCAGCAGCCGTGGAGGCGGTGGAGGTGGTGTTGGTATCGTTGTTGTTGCCGTCGTCGGGAGTGTGGTGGCCTTTTGTAATAGCAGCGATCAAAGCAGCAACAGCCCCACCTGCCGCAGCCTCCACTCCATCCTCCCCGTCCTTCTCCCCTTCCCCCTCCTCGTCCTCCCTCCCTTCCTCCACCTGCCCTGCAAACCAGCTCTCAGCCTGTAACGCCACTCTATGCCCCCCAGCCATGGTATTCAGATGCGACGCTGCGTTTTCCACCTCCTCATCTACTAATCCCTCTGCTGCTGCTTTGCTCGCCAGCACCTGCAAGTGTTTAGCTACCTGACTCGCTAGTGCCACTGCTGCTGCAGCTAGCGCGGGGTCCGCGCCTGGCACCCCCGCGCCCAGCACCTGCACGTGCGACCCGACTCGCGACGCGACGCGCGCCGCGGCCACCGCGAGCGCCTTGTCCGCCTTCCCGCGCTCCGCGAGGCGCGCGCGGAGGTTCATCTCCAGCGCCGCGACGTCCCCCGCGACGGCGCCCGCCGCGACCACCGCGAAGGGGCCCACGGACGCCGCGTCGTGGCGCAGGCGCGACGCGTGCGTCGCGAGCGCGGAGGAGAGCCGCGACGCGGACGCGGTGAGATCCGTGTTGACCACCACGTTGCGGTCGTGCGCGCGCGCGACGGCTTCTGCGCTGCGCTGCGCCTGATCCGCGCACTCCACCGCCTCGAGCACCAAGCACGGGTCGGAGTAGTTCCCCTGCTGCGCCATCGACTGCACGGATCGCGCGTACGTCACGGCGCGGTACAGCAACCCCGCGGCGTCGACTAAAAGCGTCTCCGACACCGGATCCCCCGCTGCCGCCTGCGTCGCGAGCTGCCAGGCCAGCTTCCCCGCTTCTTCCGCCACGACCGCCGCGTCCCACCCGACGAGCGAGCGCACGGTGGCGTTGGCGGATTGTAGATCGATCACGTGCTGCGCGATAGAGCCCACGACGCGGACGACGCCGTTCACGAGAGACAGGCCTATGCTGGTGCCGTTGACGCGCTGCTGCGCGAGGGATTGTACGAGAACGGATACCTCTTCCGCTACGGCTACGGATCGGACGGCTAGGAAGAACGGGACCTCGGGTTGTTCCCCCGCGGAGGACTGGAGCGCGGAGAGATGCGCGTCCGCCAGCGCGGCGAGCGCGCGCGCGCTTTCTTCCGCTTTGGCGTCCACCGCGCAGTCCTCCGTCCACTTGTGCAGCACCATTCGCCCGTGCTGCGCCGTGCGCTCCGCCAGCTGCGCTGCGCGGAGGGACGCGGCGGACGCGGCGACGGCCGCGGGGCCCGCGCCCGAGGACATGATCTGGCGCGCGCGTTCCACCACTTGCCGCGCGTGCGCGCCCGCCAAGACAGACACGCGCAGGCATTCCGTTACCAGCTTCGCGTCCCACGCCCCCTCCCTGTTCTCCCCGCTCCCCCCGCCCCCCCCTGCTCCTCCGCCTCCCCCTGCTGCTGCTCTGAGCCGCTGCTGTAGACTAGCAACGTACGCCTTGGCTTTACTCGCGAGTTCCGCCCCTTCATCCAGTACCTCCATGGGGAACGCGCCCCCCGCCCCCGCTCCGCCTCCGCCTCCCATGCCGATGCCCCCCCCGCCAGCAGCGCCGCCATCCGCGGAGAGAGACAGCTTGGCGTTGCTGCACGCCGTCATGACCAGCACAGCCGCATCGCACACCAGTCCTTCCGTTACCTTACCAACTCCCGCCTTCCCGCCTCCCGCCGCGCCTCCCATTCCGCCACCGCTGGTGTTGCCACCGCCGAGGCCATCCAGCCCCCCCGCCGCGCCTGCAGCTGCGACCTTGGCGGAAAACGCGGCGGCGATTCCGCTCAGCTTAGCATACGCGGAAACGGCGGAGGGGTCCATGATCAGCCCGGGGAAGCTCCGCCAGCTCAGGGGCGGCGGAGCTCCCCCTGCCCCGCCTTCCGCGCTGTTTTCCGCCACCCCTCCTCCGCCCCGCTGCCCCACGGCCGCGCTGCTCCGTACGACGAGGATCAGCAGCTTGGTATACGCGCACGCCAGCGCGCGCACGCACGCCGCTTCCGCCACAATCCCGCGGTTCACGCCGCCGCCGCCGCGCTGCAGGCGGTCCGCCAGCGACGCCAGCATCACCGCCGCGTTGCGGATGAGCCGCGCCGCGCCCTCCCCCACCGCGCTCGCGACGGGACCCTTCTTCCCGCCCACCTGCTCCTCCTGCTGGCGGCGCGAGAGCGCGGCGACTATAGTAGCAAGCTCCGCTCCCTCCAACAGAATCCCGTTGTCCACCTCCCCCGCCGTCTCACACACGCGATCCGCGTGCGCCTGCGACCGCCGCTTAATCTCCTCGATCTCCGCCACGTCAGCCGCCGTAATCCCGCCAGACGGCGCGGCGGCAGCAGCAGCAGCTCCGCCTCCTGCGCCAGCGCCGCCTGCACCACCACCCGCACCGTCGCCGCCAGCGGCGGCATTTGCCTGCGCGGCGACCGAGGCCGTGGCGGCCGCCGCCATGTCCGTGGCGTCTTTGGCGAGGCGGAAGTGCGAGGAGAAGAAGTGGATGGTGCGGGGACCGAACTCAAGGACGTCTGTGTCTAGTTGCTTCCCCAGCGCCGCCGCTTTCAGATACGCCTGCTTCAGCATGTTGGCGTGCAGCGCGCGCGAATGCCCCATGGCTAGTTCCGCCAGCTTCGCGGACGGCACAGGCCCGAACCCCCTCCCGGCGCCCGCCCCGCCGCCACCCCCCGCTCCCGCGCCCCCGCCGCCTCCCCCTCCCCCTCCCGCGGACCCGTCGCGAGCCCCAGGCGCCATTGCTTCGAAGATGCGCACGACGGCGGTAGCGAGATCGACGGTGCTCTCCGCCATGATTACCACGTCCGCGCCCTCCTGCACCTTGCGCGCGCCCGCGTGCGCCATCAGCACCGCCATCGCGTACGCCGCGGCTTGTTCCGCCAGCCCCGCCACCACGCCCATGACCACCGTATCGACGACCGCGCATCCCGCAAGCCCCGCGCCGTCCCCCGTTCCCGCCCTGCTCGCGCGCTCCACGAACGCCGCCGCCGCCACCGCGAGCTCGCGGCTCGCCAGCACGTCCGCGTCTTGCAGCGGCTCGCGCGCGCGCCCGCGCGCCTGCATCGTCGCGGAAATCGTTTCCCCCATGCGCATCAGCTTGGCGGCTTCCGCGGCGAGCGCGGGCGCGATGCGGCTCATGGCGGCGAGCTCTTCCCGCGTGGAGGGGGTAACCGCGAGCAGCGCCGCTTCAACCTCGTCCCCCCCGCCTTCCACTTCCACTATAGCGGCCGCTGACTTGCGGAGTGACTCCATATGCTGCCCTGTCTCCGTGCCTAGGACAGCGGCTGATGCTGCTTCTGATTCGCCCATCATCATCCGCCCTCCGCCTTTCGCCCCTCTCCGCGCCGCCCCTGCTGCTCCTGCTGCTGCCGCGGCGGCTGCTGCTGCTCTCTGCCCGCTCGGCATCAGCTCAAACGCAGCCTCCTCCTCGTCCCCGTCCACCTCTTCCTCCTCCTCCTTCTCTTCCTCTTCTTCAGTTTCATCCTTGCCCTCCTCCTTTCGCTCCTTTCCCTCCTCTTCCTCCCCTGCCTCCTCCTTTGCTCTTACTCCACTGCTCCTCCCCTCTAGTTCCTTCTCGTCCTCCATCTTCTCCTCTGTCTCCTCCTCCTCGTCCTCCGTATCCTCATCATCCTCTGCAGCCTTCTTTTCTTCCTCCTCGGAACTATCCTCCTCGACTCCTACCGTTTCTTTCACCTCCTCATCCTTGCCTTCCTCCTCCACCTCCTCCTCCTCGTCCTCCTCGTCCTCTTCATCACTCCCATAGTAAGCAGCCCTTGCACTACCCTTGCTCTTCTTCCCCTTCTTCATTTTCTTTACTGCCGCCGCTCCCTCCATCACCTCCTCCCCCTTCTTCCCCACTTCCTCCGCTTTCTCTCCGCCAACTGAACCCCCCGCATCCGCCACCACAACCCTCTCCTCATTCCCCCCTCCCTCCTCCTTTCCCCCGCCATCCGCGCGGACAACCTCTCCCCCCTTCCCCCCACCTTCCGCGCTCTCCGCCTCTTCCCCCTCTTCCACACGTTTCAGCGCGCCCATTGCAGTCTGCGCATCGGAAACATCCGACTCCGCCTCCGCATCTCCGCCCGGCTCCGCGCTTTTGCTCTTCCCTTCCTTCCCCTTCCCCTTCTTCCCCTCGCCTGTAGAGAAAGACTTCGCACGCGCGAACCCCAAGCCCCACCCGCGGTCCCGCGGACTCACCTCCGGAATGTCCGCGCCCCGCGTCCCCGCAGCTGCGCCCTTCCCCCCGCGCGGGGACGCCGCGACCGCAGACACCGACCGCAGCATCCCCCGCCCCCCTGCGCGGATCTTCTCCGCCAGCCCCGCCTTCTGCTGGGCCGCGCCCTTCTCCCCGCTCTCCGCGGTCGTTTTCCCCCCATCCACCTCCGCTTCCCCCCGCGGAGTGACCACGTCAGCGCTTCCGCCGAAAAGGCCGCTGGGGCCGCCGCCGGTGGCGCTGAGCGGGTCGTCGTTGAAAAAATCCTCCACGACAGACGCGATGGCGGTGTCTACGTGGAGCCCGGCGTGGGAGATCGGTGATGACGTGGCACCGGACGCTCTCCCCCCAGCTCCTGTGACTTCCTCCGCGGCCGCGGGGGGTTCGGCAACGGCGGCGGCAGCGCCAACGGTGGCGGCAGCGACGGCGACGGCGGGAACTGCGGATGCGGAGGCGGAGGCGGAAGCGGAATCGCCCGGAGCCTGGTCTGCAGCGGCGTCCTTTCCGCCAAGCGCTCCTTCCTCCGCCCCGCCCATTGAACTGCTTCCAGTTGTCGCAACGGGAACGCTGCTGCTGTTGCTCCCGTCGTTCTCCGCCTCGTCTCCTTTGCTGCTACTGCCCCCCTTGCCCTCCTTCTCTTTCTTCGCTTTGCTCTCTTTCTCTTTGCCAGACCCCTTAGACGGCTTCTCCTGCTTGCCCTTGCTCGAGTCCTTGTCCTTGCTCTTCGCGTCCTCCTTCCCCGCTTTCTTCTCCTTCCCGCTGCCCTTCTTCGAGCTCTTGGTCTTGCCGAGAGACCTCTTCTGCTGCATGGACGGCAGCGTAACACGCGTGGGTATACGGGAGCAGGGGAACGGGAGATATGAAACGGGAGAAATGGAAATAAGAGCGCTTGTATGAGAGAACGAGCGCGCCGATTAGACGCGGGTGTGCGATTTTTTTCGTCAAATCGAGGTGCCGCCATGGCAGTTGTGTGGCTGCATTTGCTTCTGTGCTTGTTTTAATTTGTCTGTTTTTTCGACCCCTCGTTATTTCATCAGATTGTTTTATTCGTCTTGCCTGGTGCCAGGGGGGGAGCGGGAGGGGTGGGGTGGGGGAGGGGGGGAGGGGGTTCGAGATCACAGGCTGGTTGCAAGACAAGGGAGAAACGGGTGAACGAAAGGCGAGCGGGACGGGTCAGTGAGGAACTTATCGAGCAATACGCGTTGAAGCTGACGACTTCCGACCCGCGTGAGGCTCAACCCCGCATCCAATCCCGACGCGTCCTCATGGCAGTCTTTGTCAACCACCCCACCCAACCCTGCCCAATCCACTCTTACCGATTGCTCGGAGGAGTCATCTCTAGGTGTGCTGCTCGCCGTCCCACCATCACCATCTTTAGAGCCCCCTTCGTCTTTAACTCCCTCCTCGACGTCCTTCGAGCCTTGGTCGGGGCTCTTAGACCCTTCACCCACGGCCTTCTTCCGATCCTCTGCGGCATCACTCTCCGCAGCAAGGCTGACGACGGCAGCCAGTCCCACATCGCTACTCTTAGGTGCTACCACCACTGACGTCTCCCCCGTGACGAGCTGCTCATTCTCTCGCTCTCGACCTTGCTCCTGTCCTTGTTCCTGTCCCTGCTCCGCCTCTTCGGCCTTCTCGCGCGCTCCTCCGTTTGGCGCTACGGCTGTCGCTGCTGCCGCAGCGGCTGCTGCAGCGGCCGCGGCTGAGGAAGGCGCTCCGCCGGTAGTTGCTGCCGCAGCGCGGTTTGGCGTCGGAGTGGCCGACGCTGCGCCAGAGGCGGCGGACTTGGTGTCTCTAGCGCGTTTTTCTTCCTCGGTCAGGAACTGGTCCGTGCTGTGACAACAGCCCATCGCTGCTCCTCGCTTGAAGTACTAAGAATCGTCGTCGGGAGAACCGATGCAGGATGAAACCCTACACAGACATAATTAAAACTAATCTGCTGATGGCTCTGCTAGAGGCATCCGAAAAGGCGCTCCGTGAAACGCTAAGTTACCTAACGCAGCAGGTGGTTAGCTATATAATGGCTGCACGATGTGCTCGCAACATGGACTCTTCCAAGTAACCAGGATTAAACTTCCAGAGCAAGCGGTTCTTCCTATTACGCGTGAGTGACAGGTTAGCATGGCTAAACCTCAATGAAGCCAAATAAATAGCTACGGGGAAACTAATCCTTCCTACGACTGCCAGAACTGAAATCACTTGCAGGTGGGGCTAAAATGGCGACGATTACTAGAAGGCAGCCGTAGCACAAGCCTCTAGTACCACTGAGCATCAGGAAACAATAGACGAGAGGGAAGCGCTCTCCCCAATAACGCTACCATACCACTCCAACCAACTCCGAGGAGGAGCCGAGCCAGTCCCAGGCCGTAACGAGAGGTTGGGCAATGATGCCGAGCTTGGTTGCCCCAGCGCTGGTCAGCTTTGCTGTGCTTCTCCGTGGTGCCATAGCAAGTGAACCTAGGCATGAGGTTAGGGAGTCAACTGTCGGACATGGAGGTTAGGGATTGCTTGGGTACCGAGGAGTAAACGAAATCAGGCGATTTGACAGTTCGCAGTACTCAAATAACAAATTATGTAACCCGTTTGGTGTAAAGCAGTATCGTGCTTGTTGTTGGTTGTACCCGCGAAGCGCAACTAGCACCTTGGATGCCACGTAGCTGAATAGGAGGGCAATGCACCAATGGAATGCACCGCTGAGCGCCTTCGAAGATATCGGAATGTCGCGTGAATGGCAGCACGAACAAGAAACGACGCTGCGATGCGATGTGCGAAAAGGGTTATGGATGCCCATTGGCCAGCTAGTTGATCCCTCAATAAAGATGGGACTATTTCCCTTTGAAGTGTTTCACAGGAAAGGACGCCTAGTTTCGCGAGTGTACTTGTACTTGATAATAATGAGTTGGATACTCTAAACAGTTGAAGGACAATAGAAGTGCACATGTAAAGAAAATTCCTTTTCCTTACTTCGCGTCCCTGCTCAGCGCGTACACCACTGTTCCCGCCAACAGCACCCAACAGTAATCCGTTACCACTCGCGACACTCGCTTCGACACTATTCCCGCCACTGTTCACGACGCGACCCAACATCACGGTTCGGTTGGTAACCCGCGCTCCGGACCTCCGCCTCGACATTTCCCAACCTCGGCGCTAGGCCCGTCGCGCACCCCATTTTTCACACATTACCGTTACCACTGTATTTTCGCTATATATTCTTCGCTCATGCCTTCGCTCATTGTACTCTTGCTTCGGTAGTGCAATCTTCGTTCGTTCACTCCATTGCACTCGTAACAGCACATCAATAATACAATTCGGCCATGATACATGGAGGTCACATTATAGAACAACTCTAGCCCTAAACCCAAAACCACGTGCTTACATAGATAACATTGATGCGAAGAGCAAATTCGTTTCAGTTGATGCCGAATAGCAAATTCGTTTTGTAACGGGGCTTTCAGACCACCTCATTCCACACTCATAACCTGCCACTCCGTTTCTTTCTTAGTCGAGACCGCATCGCTATACGGCCATTGAAAATAGGAAACTCCGTCGCCTAAATGGCTGACAGGGTCGCTGTGGGAGGCAATCTCTCGGCGCGTGCCGTTTTTCTGACATTTCCGGTTTCACCGGACGTTACTTGCTCGACAAGGCACCTCTCGCTTCCTCAAACCTATTCAATACAGGTTAAGTCAGGAGCCGGCATCGACCCCGCTCGAGACGCTTTAACGCGGCTTGCCAGGCTGCATCCACGAGGAGGCGTAACTCACTCCTCCCGCTGCGAATTCGGTGCCGGGCACGCGGCACCCGACGGATCCGGATTCGCGCGAAGCGCCGTCCTTAGGGGGGATGCTCGTGCAAGCTCTTGTGTCAGTTGCCGTTGCAGCCAGGGGAACTATGGCGATGCGAACCTTGGCGGAGGAGATGATGCGAGGGGAGAAATTGGGAGGAGCAGCTGGGGAGATGGTGAGAGCCCTAAAATTTCACGAGAAGAGAGAAGAGACACGAGCAACGCGAGCAGCAGCAGCAGCAGCAGCAGCGATGGCCATGGCGATAGCACGTCTGTCGATGGCGCCACGGCTGGTAACAACAGCGCCGACTTCGCCGGCACTACCGCCGCAGAACCGACACACAGCGATGCGTTGGGAAACGGAGGTAGCAGCAGTCAGCAGGTCGGCAGGAAACGCGGTTCTACCAGGGCGAGAGGGCGCAAAATGCCGGATCCCGCTCAACCCTCCGCGCAAGCCGCCCGTCCCGTTCCTCACGCAGCGCGCCTCGTGCGCTCGCACGGGCTCTCGGCTCTCTCGCACGGTGTTGTAGCAGATCGTGCAGCAGGAGGGGGGGAGGTGAAAGGAGAGGCGGTAGGAGAGAGGGAGTGGCGTGCGGCTATAGCGGACTGCATGCAGTGGGTGGAGGGTGATGGGGAGGGGCTGTACGGCTCTGCAGGCAGCAGCAGCAGCAGCAGCAGCAACAGCAGAGGCAGCAGCGGCAGCAGCAACAGCAGTGGCAGCAGCGGCGTCGGTGGGAGTGGCAGCAGGGATGAGGGTACGGATGAGTCGTTGATTGAGAGCGTGCGCAAGCTACCTACCAGGTCAGTGTCAGTGCCACTGTCAGTGTCGGTATCAGTGTCACATGGTATACACGAGAGCATGAGCAAACACTTCTTTCTTTCGCCCTCTGCTTTTGTCCTGCAGCTTGTCTCTCTTGGCTCATACTCTTCTTCTTCCATGTGTCAAATCTGCTTTCGCTCCCCTCCTGCCCCCCCTCCATTGACTCCCTCCCCAACGCAACATCTCAATTTCCTTAGCTGCACATTCTCCTTCCCCCCTGCACATCCCTCCCCCTCCTCTTATCAAACCGCGTCACCAGTTTCCCGGCGCTCCTGCCGCGCTATGTGGCCCTGCGAACGGCCATCCAACCATGGAGCGACCTGTTCTTTCGCAGGCACAGCCGGCGACCCACCGTGAGTGCCTGAACGTCTCATGAGTGCGTATCGTCGGTCATCTGATGTAATGTGGCCGTTCGCTTCTTGCGGCGGGAAGAGGAGTGGCAGGAATGCGCGTGGTGTGTTGTGAGCAGCTTCTTTTCCTCGTTTTTGTGTGAATTTCAATGAATTCTGGTTATATGTCCGCAGCCTGCCTCCTTGCTCCTCACGCTCACCTATCAACTGCCTCCTTACTTATGGCATGCGCACACGAGCAGATGACAGACGTGCATAGCACGCACATGCCGTGGCTAGTGGAGCACTTCCATCTCTTCCGCATCGCCATGCTTCGCCTGCGCCCCCACGTGCTAGACCTACACCACCCCGACAATGCCGCTCAGCTCGCTAAAGCCCGCGCAGCCTTCAATCTAGACACATTCGCTGCTCGACCGGAGCGACAAACTCCACAAGCTAGATGGAGGGCGACCAACAGATCCCGCCTCTCTTCCTCCTCTTCCTCCTCTTCCTCCTCCTCCACTCCCCCCTCCTCTTCCTCGTCGTTCTCCGGCTCGCAGTATCCCTTCGATCCTCCGTCCTCCCCATCGGTCTCCTTCTACTCCTACTCATCCTCTGCGGCGTTTCCGGAATCCCAGCCCTTGCAGGTTTCCCCGTTGTGGTTTCCTCCCGCTGCTCTTCCCGCTGCTGCGGCCTCTGCTGCTCCCAGCCCGTCCTTTCTGCCGCCTCCTCCCTCGCTTGTGTCGTCCAACGTGGCTTCGTTTGATGACGTGGACGAGTGGCTGTTTTCTGTGGGGGAAGAAGGAAGTGGAAAGGAGAGTGGTGAGAAGGAGCTTGTGAACAAGCAACAGGCGTGGCTCCAGCAAGAGCAGCAGCAACAGCAGCAAGAGCAGCAGCAACAGCAGCAACAGCAGCAGCAAAAGCAGCAGCAGCAGCAGCAAGAGCAGCAACAAGAGCTGCAAGAGCAGCAGCAACCGAAAAAACAATCCGCGCAGCAGCAGAAGCAGCAGCCGGAGAAAAAGGAGGAGGTGAGGCGACAGGAGCCAGGCAAGGCTGAGGTTAGAGAAACCCACTTGGTCGCACAGTGGAAGAAGCAGGCTTGGAGGAAAGGGTTAGGCGAGCGAGGGAGGGGAAGAGGCAGGAGAGATGGTGACAGGGAAGGCAGTGAGGGAACGGTGCAACGGGAAGAGAAAGAGGAAGAGGAGAGAACAGGAGGGAAGGGGGAGCAGGTAGTGGCACATGGGAGGGAGTCATGGGAGTGGAAGGTTCACACGGTCGTGATTGGTGGAGTGAAGGGTGTTGGCGTGTGGAAGGTAGAAAAGGGAGGTTTGGGAGACGGGGGGTTGGGAGAAGGAGGATTGGGAGAGGGAGGGTTGGGAGAGGGAGGGTCAGGAGAGCGAGGGTCGGGAGAGCGAGGGTCGGGAGAGCGAGGGTCGGGAGAGCAAGGGTCGGGAGAGCAAGGGTCGGAAGAGCGAGGTTTGAGGGAGAAAGGGTTGGAATTGGGAGGGTTGGTAGAGCGAGGGTTGGGAGAGGGAGGGTTGGGAGATTGTAGGTTAGATGTGGAAGACTCAAGAGAAACTCATTCTGTTGCACCTGGAGGCAGAGAGGAAGACAGGCAATCCAGTGCTGTCTCCAGTAGTGTTCATCTGCAGGTGCAAACAGCACGCGTGGATGATTCAGCAGAAATGAAACAGGATCAAGGCAGGGGAGGGGCGGAGAGGGGAGAGGAGGAAGGGGAAGAGGAGGAGATGGGACAGGAGGAGGGTGAAAGCTCCACTGCTGCTGAACAGGGAAGTAACATCGATGCACATCGTGAAGATGTGGGTGGATTGGGCTTGAAGCAGGAGACCGCGGTTGAGGGGGGTTTTGCAGGGTCGAGTAGGGTTATGCGAGAAGTGCAGGAGGGGCAGGGAGGGGCACTGCAGCAAGGGGGGGAGGATATCGGTGATAGAGGAGGTGAATGGAAGATTTAGATTCGTCGGATCCCTCGAAAGGGTTTCAGGACCAGAACTGAATGGCGGTAGCAGTTTGTATATTATGTTGTAGTTATATTCCGTTTGTAACAATAGAGTGATCCGCTAGTATTGCATTTGATATCGTGGCAACCCCCTCAGGCCTGTTCGTCAGGCCCTTTTCAGACAGAGGTGCTGCTGAGAAACAGCATGTGCAAATGAGCTCAAGTTTCATTCGCAAGTGGTACACGCCTGACACTTTATTGTGCTCCACTGTTGTCACACTCCGGACCACTGTTTACATAAACACCAGCCTCTTGTAAGGCTCTGTCACACGTTTGGTTGATCTGGTGCACTGGGTATTCGGCGCCGTTTACATTGGAGATGGGCTTGGGGAAGCCGTTCATTTCTTCGGGTGCCTTTACGGATGCGAGTGGAGATGTGTACACGTGTCCTTTTGCATTATCTGCGCCTGCTCTTTGGTGAGTCAGCGTCCTCTTGAAGTTTCGTGGCCTCACGGTCAGGAGAACTTTTTCCAACGCCATTCCAGCATCTTCAGGAAAATCTTCGTTGGCACCACGAGGAGATACGGCGCGCATTGAGATCAACTTCGGCGCCTCGCCACGCAAGATCCGCACTTCTGTGGTTGCCCAACCCCCTGATCCTTTTGAGCCGAATCGCACTGGGTTGGCAGCTGCCGCCTCGCATGTCACGGCTCCTGCTGGTTGAAGCCGCAGTCTTGTCGCGATATGAGGTGGCATGCTATGATTGGCCTATCTCCAGTTAGGCTTTTCGCGATTGTTTACAGGGCACTCTCACCTCGCCTTGCTGGTTGGAGCTCTTGGTCGAGACGCAGCGCCTTCTGCGGTCATGCCTACTTCCACAGGCGATGTTCGCGAAAATTGGTCGCGTCTGACGTTGACGAAGAGATCCCTTTCTCCGAATTATATACAAACCGTTCCACACCGCTCCACACCTCTCCTCTCCTTCCATTCACTTTTGCTCTCTGCTTTATATATTTGCCACCATTGTGCTCTGCTCACCCTGCCACCACCAACCAGCCAGTCCCTGCAAAAAGCCCAGCGATTCCCGCCAAACCACGAGCCCATTTCCCCTGCGACACCACAACCACTGGCAAAGGATCTCTGGAGCAGGCTCTACTTGCCGATCGCCGACGCAGGTCAACCAGCAGGAGGAGAACGCAGTTCATTATCCCTGTGCCTCGCTCTAGCCCACATTGTCCCCGACCTTGTTGAGCCGAGCTAGATTGGCAGCTGGCCCTTCAGCCGTAGTGGCACTGTTGATGTTACATCGGCTCACAACATTCTTCAGGCACCATCTCGGCGCTTCGTCACTAACTTTATCCAGGCCTCTCCTCCTATCCATTTCAAGTCTGTTCTAAGTAAAATTTTCACGGCTATTCTCTGCGAGCCGCCCACTCGTCGCGTTCCCGCGTCCTCTCGGAGCAATTGAACGGCTCTGCCAAGTGCGCGCGCCCAATCAGCAAATGGCAGTGCGCGCTCCGCCGTGCCCATGTCTCACTGACCAGCGCGCATGCGCGACCGCCATGGTCTCCGCGCAGCCTTCCTCCCTCCGCGCGCACTTTCTCGGAACCTGGCCGCCGCATCATCCGCAGTGGCATCACCAGCTACACACCGGCTACCAGCTCCCTACGCGCCAGCCGTCCTCTTCCCTCAAACTCACTCGCGCGCAAGCCGCCGAGCAATCCGCCAATCCCAGCCGCGTTCCTCCCGCTCATGGCGCCAGCACCGGAAATTCCGCAGCGGCAGCAGCTTCCCGGCGAGGCTCGGTGGCGAGCAGGGCAGCGGTGACATCTCAGCCGATGCCGGACTCTGGAGGATACTTCCGCGTGCCTTCGCCCGTACCCATGCTGCAGAAGCTTTTCCAGGCCGCAAATGCCGCTGCAATCGCCGTGCCTCTTAAGTTTCCCCTACCCACTGCAGAAGCTCCTCCAAAAACAGCCACTAAAACTACCACCTCCGACGCCGCCGCCGCCGCTAACGCGGCGTCGGCCGCCGTTTCAACAGGAGTGGGCGCGCGCTCGCCCGCGGTCGCGAAGAACAAGGGGCGGTCCGGCTGGCGCAGCGATCTGCATATCAGCCGCGCGCTGCCGCTGCCCATGACCGCGCCCAACTCGCAGCCCTTATCGTTGGAGGCGGTGGGAGAGATGGTTCGCTGCGACCCCGAGATGCAGGTAAGAATGCCCGCGCGTGCTCCGGGAGCAATTGCGCCTCGTGTTGCAATTTCGACGTTCGCAGCAAGCGCAAATTGGCTTGAATTGGCGTGAGTTAGCGCGAATTGACGTGAATTGGCGATGCTTAATGGTGCAGGACTGCAAGGAGGTGGTGTACCAGTGGACCGGCAAGTGCACGCGGTGCAGCGGCACGGGATACGTGTCGTTCCGGCGCAAGCGAGGCAAGGACTACACGGGCACGTGCATCACCTGCTCTGGCATCGGTACGACACTAAACAATGTCAAAATCGTTACTGTCGACATGTGTTCTGATCATATCAGATCCAATTGGATCAAATTTGATATCTCCCTCTCTCTCCTCCCTCTCTCTCTCTCCTCCCTCTCTCTCTCTCCTCCCTCTCTCTCTCTCCTCCCTCTCTCTCTCTCCTCCCTCTCTCTCTCTCCTCCCTCTCTCTCTCTCACCCTCCCTCTCTCCCCCTCTCTCTCGTTCCCCCTCTCTCCCCCTCTCTCTCCCTGTCCCTCCCTCCCACTGTTCTTTCGCACCCCTCCTTCCTCGCCTGCCCCACCCTCCCAAACCACTGCTTATTCCGCACATGTCAAGAAAACCAACAACCCATATGTCATGTCCTCTTCCTACATGTGGTCCGTGGCAGGCTACGTGCAACGATTCACAGTGCGGGACAGCATTCGAGTTATGGAGGAGCTGGAAGACAACACGTGGCGGTCCTGAACGAAATAGAGAGAGGGAAAACTCGCCTTCATGAAAACATTGTTCCAGCTGGAGTTTTAGAATTGAGAGTAGTTGTAGCCACCTAAACTAATCCCTTGGATGTACCTCCAAGGAAGGAGGAGAGGGGAGGGAGGGCAGCGGGACAGGGGGGGTAGCTGCCAGAGGGTAGCAGAAGCAGGATAAGATACTGAGAGAGAGCAAGGACAGATGTTTAGAAGGGTACTGTAGCTAAAAAGGAACTTGGGTTGCGGATTCAGAGCTGATTGTATGTATGTCTATAGATACTGTATGCTGTTTCAGGCACAAGTAAAGAAAGGTACGATACCGCTCCCAACTCTACGCGTTTTAATCTACCGTGTATTACAGAAGTAGCGTACCGTATTTCCCCCTCGATTCATGCCCCGCCTCAGGATAAAAGCCCCGGGGCTTATCACTAGCGAAAGGGGTGCCTTCATCTGATTACCTATCTGAAAATATAAGCTGCAGTGCAGAAAATATATACATAAGCATGGTTTTGTGGTGTGTGGTTGTTGAATTATATTTGCATATCCTGTTATAACTGCCTACAGCTTGCTAGTGTATTAGCTAGATATTAGGTTCAACTGCTGGTGGTGTACCCTTTTCCCCTTCCTCTCCTTCCTATTTGTACTCCCAACTTCATAATGAAAGTCTCTCTTTTGGCCAAACTTCTCCCTCCATGATTCTCCTTACTAAACCTCTCCTAAACCTAAGTACTGCATAATCTCCTAATCTTAACATGATATCAGAGAGTGGTCCCTCCTAGGACCTCGTTTTTCATGGGCCCACCAAACCCGCGATCTGCCATGGCGACTTATTGTGCTGCTGGCATGGCTGCTACTGCTAGTAGCGCGAAATCCGCTGCTGGCTCGAAATCCGCTGCTTTTGCAGCACCCGTCGCGCTGCCCCCTTTCGCCTGCCCCGTCGCGCTCTGCCAGTGGCGAGCGTGCCAGCGAGGCGACGGCGGGCGCCAGCGCAAGCGCCAACGGCGGGCGCCAGCGCCAGCGCCAAGGGCGGGCGCCAGCGCCAGCGCGACGCCAGCGCCCAGCGCCAGCGCATGGGGGGGAGGGGGATGAGGGGGTGGCGGGAGAGCTTCTGCCGCGCCAGCCACCTCCTCTCCTCTCCTCTCCTCTCCTCTCCTCTCCTCTCCTCTCCTCTCCTCTCCTCCTCCTCTTCTCCTCTCCTCTCCTCTCCTCTCCTCTCCTCTTCTCCTCCAGCCGCATCTCCTCCTCCTCTCTCCTCTCCTCTCCTCCAGCCGCATCTCCTCCTCCACTCTCCTCTCCTACAGCCGCATCTCCTCCTCCTCTCTCCTCTCCTCCAGCCGCCTCTCCTCTGCTCTCCTCCTGTGCACCACCACCAGCTTCCTCCTCCTCACCAACAGTTGTGTTTGCTCGTAGATGGCGAGCGACCGGCATCCTTCGCCCTCCGGCTATCCCAGCCCTCCTCCGCGCTCTCCGCGCCCTCCTCCGTCCTGGCATTCACAGGTGCTGCCGGTCAACCACCGCTGTTTCTGTGCCTATCCCAGCTACAGCAACCGCTCTCCAGGCGACCTGGTGCCAGACACCACTAGCTATAGCCGTAGGCAGTTACGGGGGTGTGTTGAATTATATTTGCATATCCTGTTAAAATTGCCTACAGCTTGCTAGTGTATTAGTTAGATATTAGGTTCAACTGCTGGTGGTGTACCCTTTTCCCCTTCCTCTCCTTCCTATTTGTACTCCCAACTTCATAATGAAAGTCTCTCTTTTGGCCAAACTTCTCCCTCCATGATTCTCCTTGCTAAACCTCTCCTAAACCTAAGTACTGCATAATCTCCTAATCTTAACAGTGGTGTAGTGCAAGCTGGTTGGGGTGACCCACTGTAAGGAAAATTCCTTTTCCTTACTTCGCGTCCCTGCTCAGCGCGTACACCACTGTTCCCGGCCACAGCACCCAACAGTAATCCGTTACCACTCGCGACACTCGCTTCGACACCATTCCCGCCACCGTTCACGACGCGACCCAACCTCACGGTTCGGTTGGTAACCCGCGCTCCGGACCTCCGCCTCGACATCTCCCAACCTCGGCGCTAGGCCCGTCGCGCAACCCATTTTCCACACATAGCCGTTACCACTGTAGTTTCGCTCTACCGTATGGCCCCGGATATAGGCGCCGGCCTATTACAGGCGCCGGCGCTTCTATCTGGAGCATGGCGCTTATGGCCGTTCCTCGATTATAAGCGCCCCCCCTAAAAATGCTTTACTTATTATAAGCGCATGTGTAAATTTAATTTATAATATTGCTTAGTGAGAAGAAACAAGGAATGAATGAACTATGAATGAATTGGGTACAAGTAATAACCCTAATTGGGTTGTACCCCTTATGGGCTACCCCACTATAGCCTACACAATATGCATGAGCTATGATGTTCTGACACACCCCCATAGGCAAAGTGGGGGAGAACAAGGGGTCACAAGACCAGTCAAGTAAAGCAAAGCAAAGCAAGCTCAGGGTGGATCACAAAGTCACCACACATTCCGAGCACAAGTTCAAGGCCACAAGGCCAGTTCACATGCAGGAGTATATATATATATAAAAAGGCTAGACAAGCAAGAGCAGGTATATATATATGTAACAGTACAAGCACGGTCAAGAGGTGAGCAAGTGAGGCAAGGTAGGAACAAGGCCCAGCTGAGTACAGAAGCGCTGATGGTCACAAGGCGCAAGCGCTTTGGTGAAGATATCAGCAGTGTTGGCCTCAGAGGCCACGTACGCAAGACGCAGCTGACCACGCTGCTGCAGCTCACGAGCAAGAAAGTAGCGGAGAGCAATGTGCTTCGTTCTGTGCTCCAGTCGCTGCTCCCGACACAAGGCCAGCATGGCCTTGTTGTCTACGTACAGCACTGGAGGAGAACGAGGCGGCTCTCCGAGGTCAGTCAGCAGGTAGGTGAGCCAGCGAAGCTCCTGTGCAGCCATGGCTCCTGCGTAGATCTCAGCCTCACAACTGGAGCCGAGAACAGAAGACGAGCGAGTAGCCCGCCACGAAACAGAGCCGGAACCAAGGCTGAAGGTGTAACCCTGTGACGACCGCTGCGTAGCCTGGTCGTCAGCCCAAGAAGCGTCTGCGTGCCCAGTAAGGACCACTGGACTCTGCCCTCCAAGCACAAGCCCCATGCCCGACGTACTGCACAAGTAGCGCAACACCCTCTTCGCTGCAGCCATGTGCTCCGGTCTGTGTCTCCCAGGAGCAACATAGCGTGCGAGAATGCTAAGAGGGTATGCAAGGTCAGGTCGTGTGCAGGTCATCAGGTACATGAGGCAGCCAACAAGCTCTGGGTACGGGCCACTCGACTCTACGGACTCATCCGAAGGCAGAGCTGAGAGCGAGTGGCGAGTAGGCAGAGGAGTGGCCTGAGGCGAGGAGTACGTGAAGCCGAAGCGCTGAAGGACCTGCTGCACCATGTGTGACTGAGTCAGGGTGATGGTGCGCCGTGCTCTGTCCCGGGTGATCTGCAAGCCAAGATAGCTCCGCAGTTCACCCAGGTCAGTGCAGGTGTGTCTCTCCTGCAGCTCCGACTTCACGTGGGCGAGTCCAGCAGTGTCAGCTGTGGCAAAGACCAAGTCGTCGACGTACACGAGGACGTAGAACGGCGGCAAAGAAGTGTCGGTGCGCAGAAACAGCGACGGGTCGGCAGTAGAGGGAGCAAACCCAAGAGCCGCAAGTGTAGTCCTCAGTGTGTCGTGCCACTCACGCGGTGCCTGGCGGAGACCGTAGACTGGCCGCCGTAGGCTCCACTGGGTGCCAGGAGGAAAAGACCTAGTGAAACCAGGTGGGCGACGCAGCCAGATCTCCTCGTGCAGGCTGCCCTGCAAGAAAGCAGTGCTGAAGTCAAGAGAGTGTAGCTCGTAGTCACGGTGAGCAGCTACGTGCAGCAGTACCCGAAGAGTGGTCATCTTCGGGGTGGGAGAGAAGGTCTAAAAGTAGTCAACTCCCTGCCGCTGACTGAAGCCTCGAGCCACGTAACGCGCCTTGAAGACAGGCGGAGAACCCGGCGGCCGCTTCACCCTGAAAATCCACATGCCACTGACGATGTTCGCCCCAGGAGGGGGAACAGCGTCAACGTAGGTGCCTGTGGACTTCCAGGAAGCCATCTCTGCGTCCATAGCTGCCTGCCACTGAGAGGAGTAGGGACCCTCTATCGCCTCCGCGTAAGAGCGCGGAGTCGGGATGTCAAGTGCATCCGGGTCTCCCTCAGGGGTAAGCAGTACGGACACGAGATGAGGTGAAGCAGCGGCCAAGCACTGGAACTCCTCCTGCCTGTCCTCAAGGACGTCCGTGCCAAGGGCACACTCACCCCCGACGGACGGAGGACAGACAGACTCAGACTCAGCAACAAGACTGGCGACATAGTCTAGGCGACAGCGAGCAGCAAAGTCGACGAGCTCAGCAACTAGGGCAGACGCAGCAGTGGACTCTAAGGAAGGGCCAGTGACAACAGTAGCAAGGAGACGCGTGACAGTAGGACTGGCAGCACGAAGAGAGTCCGACTCCGGGTCGGCAAGAGCAGGAAGAGAAGACTCAGGAGGAGAAGGCAAAGGGGCACGCAGAGGAGCAGTGGACGGACGCAGAGACATCCGGTGCGTGCCAGGGACAGGAGGAGGACGCTGACGCGAACCACGACAACTAGTGCGAGCAGCACGGACAGGCGACGCAGGGCGAGACGCAGGCTCACGACGCTCAGCAAGACCTCCAGTAGGACCAGTGTAGGGAGACGGAGCAGGCAGTGGGGAGGCCGGCTGTAACTGTAACTGCGACGGGACAGTCTGTGGACACTCTAAGGTAGGAGGAGGACCAGTAGAAGACGGGAGACCAAGAACCTGCTGAAGGAGCGGAACGAAGTACGGCCGAGGCCGCGCGGCGACTCCAGACACAGTAGGGACAGCACCAGCACCCCCTGTGGCAGCACCAGCACCAGTAGCAGCTCCAGCTCCAGTACCCCCAG